AGTTTTAATCGCACTGTACGTGCACGCCCACACGTGGCATTTTGTAGAAGAGCCACACTCAAGGGGCCAAAGAGCCGCATGTGGCTTGTGAGCCGCGGTTTGCCGACCTCTGCACTAGGGTAATCTGGAATCTGCAAGAGCCTAGCCTATTATCTAGCTATAGATAAAGAAGGAAGGGGAATCTGGAATATAAACTTGATAAACTAAGGCCACACCAGTGGAGAGTAGCAACGATTTTGGTTATTGGCTTCTCAAAAACATAATGTGAAGCCCATCCTCTGGGATTTCATGGAAAGGAACCAAATGGGAAATGATGAGGTCATAAGTCTGGAGTCTAGAGTCAGAGATCCGAGGAGGCACTGCAGGTGTGAAACTCTCTTCTTGGTAGGACTGAGATCTAAGCAATGAACTGCAATCCTAAACAGAGGAGAAATATGGGAGAGGGGGTGAGGTTGCCTTTCAATAAAACATCGTTCTCAGAACAGGGCATGAGGTAACTTGAGGTCAAATTCTACAGTGTCAGGCAAAATACTACTAGTTTTAAAACCAAACAACTAATGTGTCCAGGCTGCCTGTCACCTCTTGAGCCAATTAAGCAGAGACAAGATTGAATAATATGAGGGTTTATTCCAACAATGCATGCAGTATGGGAGAGCAGCAGGTCATCCATGAAAATCACCTCTACCCTGTCCCATAAGTCGGCTGCTTATATTGGGTAGAAGGACAAAGATTACATAGGAAAGTAAGAATTACAGGCATGGGGAAGTAGGCAAGATATAATAGTCACAGGTTACACAAAATGTGGGCTGCAGGGTCACAAAGGGGGGGCACCTTGGGACTGCATTGTTTCGGCAACAAGGTTGCCTAATGCTATATAATAAAAGCCCAGCGACGGAAATGGTGGAAGGACCAGAACAACCAGAGACCAGAACACTATGGCCCCTCGCCCAGCTGGCCCTGCCCCCCAGAGAGTGGTTGGGGTGGGGACCCTAGGCAATGCGATAGGGTGCGAGTTTGATGGAGAAAAGTCAAAAAAATAGGGGGGAAGGTCTTAAGGGTCTGTGGGGTTGGGGTGGTCGGCCTGGAGTAGGTGTGGCATGTGCTGGGGAAGGAAGAGGAAGGTCTGATTGGAAAATGGCTCAGCACAGTACCTTTCTCATTGCAAACAGGACGGTGCCAGCCCTGGACTGAATAGGCGGTTGTTTCATGAGTGCGCTTGGGACCGACATGTTCATGGCAGCACCAGTTCTCCCGAAACCTCACCGATTCCAAATAGTAAACAGCTATCAACATCAAAGAACAGAAAAATCCTCCCCAACTAGAGGCCCTGGCCATTGCAACACAAATGAAGGAAATACCACTTCAGGAGGAGCTAGAAAAACCGGAAGTATGTGATCAGAGGATTGTGGGATTGTGGAGGATGCCTGGCACCCACTGCTAGAAGTAAGCCTGTTATTGTGCATGTACATAGTCAGCCCTATAGTCCTCAGTCTCACAGTATTTGGACATGACTTCTGGCGGGATATTATTTAATTAAGGTTTGCTGTTCCCTTGTGGCAAGGAAGATCAGAATTAAAGGTTTTGTTTGTTGCCTTGGTTTGAAGTGGAGGAAAATGGGATAGTGACGATTAAGAAACTTTGCAGATAGTGGAGGGCAGTTTGTCCAGACTGTTAAGAGCTTAGAATTAGAGTTTAATTGGGATAAAAATCCTGCTAACAGCACCTGATGCCTGAAATCTGAACAATCTATTTTTAGGTTTTCCAGTTCAAGTTTTTGGAGACTGCCTATTAAAACATTCCTGGTTGGGAAGTGCAGAACACCATGGCCCCTCGCCCAGGCTGGCCCCACCTCCCAGGGAGCAGTTAGGGGTGATGAGGCAGGCAGGCAAGTGGTTAGGGGTGATGAGGCAGGCAGGCAGAGGCATTAGGGGCAATCAGGCAGGCAGGCGAGTGGTTGGGGGCCATCAGGCAGGCAGGCAAACAGTTAGGTGCCAGTGGTTCCGGAATGCGAGAGGGATGTCTGACTGACGGTTTAGGCCCGATCTGCAGATCAGACTTAAACCGGCAGTTGGACATCCTCCGAAAGGTCTCGGGTTGCGAGAGGGTGTAGGTCTGGCTGAGAGGACCCCCTCTGGCCCCACCTTCTTTGCACTGGACCTCTAGTCTTTCCATACTGATAGGCAGTTCTCTGACCACATTCTGAAGTTAACTCTCATGTCCCAGGGCTTACAAATCCCAACCAAGTTAAAATGTGCTTTTTCTAATCAGAACAGAACAATCATGGTTAACAAAGCATGATTAATATTTCTTACAACTATAGCTCATCCCCACTATTCTATTTCTGCCCCTAACAGTTTCAAAAACCCTTCTGTTTAAAGTCTGAATAGATTTGGGGGAAGGAGAGTGTGAAAGCACCCATTTGTGTTGAAGTTAGCCATTAGCAGTGGAGGCAAGTAGAATGTAGCAACAATGTTACTGGACTAAAGGGTTCTACTTATGTACATCAGAGCCCAGTAAGACATGAACAGGAGTTTGCAGCAAAGAAAGTAAGGGTTTATTTTTAGGAAGTGGCCCATGCCAGGACTCACAGGTGAGCTAGTGTTCAAAGCCCTAGCTCCTCAAAGGTTTCCAGGGGATGGGTTATATGGAGGAAAATTCATTAATCTTGGTTGAGGAGGAAACTGGTCTTGCAGAACTTGTTATCTAAATGCAGAGGCCATGGAACTGTGAACAATGCACTGCCCTGGGTGTGGGGGGGGGGGGGAATAGTTGTTATGCTGGTGCCAGGACAGACCATCGGATGTGGCCTGACCCCTGGGGGCCTTCCTGGAGGGCCACGATGGGGGCAGGGGGCCTATCTGCAAGGCAAAGACCCCAGCAGGATATATAGAGAAAAGCTCTCTGCATGTTTCTTCACTCTGATTTGGAAATTATTCCCGGAGTCCACTAGTGTTAATAAATGGGGTCCCTCCCTTTCTCTAGGAAGCGTGCTTGGTATTTCTCTGGTCTTCTGTAACAGGTGACTAAGGGAGTTAGGGTGTGGTCAGGGTTGTGGTCTAAGGTAGGGGTAGTTGATCAGTTCATCTGGTCCTGATGTCAGCCATGGCGTCACCTTGTCTGGTTTTGTAACTTTTCTGGGCCTGGAGCTGAAATACAACTGCGACATAGATGTGATCCCTAGTTTGATGGAAACGTGGTCTCTGGGGTCAACAGACGGGGCTTTGCTTCTAAGATTATCTGATGCTTGACCAGAACCTGGTTGTCCCGAGGGCTTAATGAATAAGGGAGTGGTCCTACAAGAGAGATGGAGGCAGGTGAGTCAGGGTCATTCAAGCTGGACACTAGCTTGAATCAAAAGGAAAGAAAGAAGAAAAGGTCATATTAAAGAAACAAAGTTTCTACATAGTTACAATAAGGCTCCACCTAACCAGTGTTTTTAATGTGGAATATAGTTAACTATACAGTTAAATTCTTTCACTGATAACTATAAGCAAAGATGTTTCTTTGCTACAACTGTGTAGAGACACTGCTGGTATTCTGCCTGGATCCTGGGATCCCTTTCCTGTGCAGTGCTGCTTCTGCGTGTTCTGCTCCTTCTTCAGAACATTCAGTGTCGGGCTGCAGGAATCACTTAGCCAGGTGGCAGGGCACACTGTGGTGTAATTGATGCTCCATTGCTCTCTGTATGATCAGGCTGAGCTAGAGTTAGTTCACTGAAATGCAACTTGCTTGGCTTTTTCTCCACTGCCTTGCTGTATCTTCTGGAAAAACTGCCTTAATAGATTAATTGCATATGACTCTTTCTTGTATGTGTTGTTTCTGGGTAAACTGAGTTAAGATAACCCATACTTGTAATATGTTAGGAAGTAATGAAATATATCCTCATAGGAACACAAGTACTATATTGTGGAGAGTATTAGTTGTAGATTTGAGAACGCAATGGAGCAATGGAGTTTGGATCCATCAGTCACTTGGTTTCATAGCTCTGAAACAATTCTACATTGTTTTTTTCAGTTCTTTTTTCCATGACTGCACTGTCATTGAAATACCTTAATCTATATCCCAATCTTACAGTCAGCACCACAGATTAGCACTTCCCTTGATGCTTGGCGATGTGCATCACAGAACCTTAGAAGGAGCCTGCACCCTTTCAAGTAACTTCTTTTTATATAAAAAGAAACAAGAAATGTTAGCTTCTTGCTATTATGTACTTACTTTTGTATTTGATAATCCTTGCATATTGCAGCACTGTTGTTGCTGGCTTATTATGGAAAATTTAATAGTATTTAATTAAAATCCGGAAATGTGCTTTCAATTCTATTACTCTAAACACTGGTGTGTGTGTATGGATGTGTGTGTGGGGGGGGGGGGGGGGGGGGAGGCTCATCCTTACTATTTGCATTATACTGAAAACTTAATCTTCTTGCATAGTGGTTCTGTGCTTTTAAGAGGATTACATTATTAATTGTTTAATTATTCATTATGCTGCACTTTTTCATTCAGAACAAAAGCTTTTTTTAAAATTAATTTAACGTTTTATCCTTCTCAGCAGCCATTCTTTGCACTGGGCTCTCTGTTCTTTCATGATAGGGTGTCGCAGCAAAGAATCTAGAGGATGCCTTGTTGAAAGCTAAGCCTGTAGTTGCAGCAAATAGATCTTTTGCCTGAACAATGACTCAACACACCACCAGGCAACTGAGTCTTGCTGCACTCCAGAGACTGGTCAGAAACAGGTCACCTGCAGGGGCATCGTTAATCACAATTGTAGGAGTGACCATCAGTTTCTTGACCTCCCTGAGATAGGCAGGGAGGTCAGCGCTTCCAGCAGTTCTTCCTCCAGGCAAGGAAAACTATTGGGGAGATTTCCTTTCTGTTATTGCTGGCATTTTTATTTAATCCTATCATTTCTCCTCAGTCTGGGCAGAAGTACAAAAGCTTCCAGCAGGCACAGTCTGTCCTTTTCTGTTTTTCTCTTTGCCAAAAGTAACCTTGGCTATTTATTGATGGTTTAGGAAAAAAACTACCACACCCCTTTTCCTCAGCTGTGTTTCTCTCATCCTTCCTCCCTTCTCCTGCTCTCTCTTCTCTCCCCTTCGCGTTTCTGTTGGGGCTTAAAGGTCAGTAGGGAAAAAAGAGCCACCTCGAAGGAGCCTGATGATAGTAGTCCTGTCAACTCCTCGGTGCTGATTGTAGGGAAGGTTTACGAAGCAACCTTTCCATGCATGACGGTGCATATGCTGCTCCAACAGTGGCCAGCTTGGCAGCGGCTGGGCTGCTGGAAGCTGGAAGCCAGCTGGTGCTGATATCAGAGCTCTTCACCACCCGTGAATTTCATCCCAGCACCTTAGAGGGACCTTCATAAGGGAAAAACACAAAGAAAAAAAAAAGAATTTAAGGACTTTGGTTTGTATATTCATACATTAAAACATATTTGATTTCATACATAGAATGACCATGATATTATATTTAAAAAAGACAGATGTTAAATTACCCAGTAAATGTGTGAAAGGAAATTTAAATACTCATTGTGTTTGTATATGAAAGCAAAGCCCTGAACTTATGATGACAGAAAAATAATTTATTTAAAATACTTTTATTTTTTCCGAGGGTGGAAAAAAAGTAGAATGAACTCTTCTCTCCCCCCTTCCCCCAACCCCCCAAAGGATCTTTAAAGAGAATGAATTGAATTTCAGGATTCCTTACATAAACATATTTATTTTTCATTGGAAGGGGCAGAATTTTGTAGGAGAATGTCATTAGTGTGAGCTGGGATGAAAAGGAGGATGAAACATAAAAACTATGTATAGAAAACATCAATATATTTGAGCCTTGACCTCCAATTGTTCATGTCAATTATAGCATGCTTTGTGGACCACATTAATTATGCTCACTTTCCTATTTCTGTCTTGCTTATATGTTTGTGCACATTGAAGAGGATTTTTCATATTATCTGGCTGCCTTTACCTTCCTTTGCTTCATTTGAAAATCATTTTATAGACTAAGGGAGGAACTTTAAAAAGCATCTTCTTTATGATAGTATGTTCTGCTTTCCCTAACAATGGCTTAGACGTTGTCACCATTTACTGCACCAACTAAAGAAAATAAAACAGAACAAAACCGAGAATTTTTGTAGTATAGAAATTCTGAATAAATATGAAATAAAATAGGCATATTGTAGCACAAAATGCATCTCTTTAAATAAGAGAACCTTTATCCCATTTTAAATTCATCATCATTTAGACTTGCAAAGTTAATGGGTAGAAGATAAGTGTTTCTAAGCATCAAAGAAATCTCAAGTGTCAGGTTTGATTTTAGCACATTGAGTCATCTTTCTCTAAAGAAGGACCTTCTCAACCTTTGGTGCTGCTTAGAATGAGACAAGGCTATTTGGGAATTTTCATTTCAATGTTCTGGAAATCAGGTAGTGTTCCTTTAACTGGAATCATGATACAACTGAATAAAGATTCAACTTATATCCCTAAGATTGGAATTTCTAACTCCAAATATGTATGTGATTTTAATAGACAAATTTTGTTTTGGGATACATAGGTAGCATTTCTGCTAAGCAGACAGACATCAGTAACATAGTTGCTTAAAATAATTTAGTGACTTGTTTTAAAACAAATTAAAGAATAAGGGAGAAAAATGACTAGGTAAAAATGTACTTCTTCAGCAATCAGTTACTGAACATCAATAATATTCTGGACCACAATGACAATGGTAATGTAAATACTAAAAGAAAAATTAATCCTTGGATGTTAATTGAGAGAGACAAAGAACAAAGCAGGAATTATAGAACTGTGAATGTGTTTGAATGCTAAGGATGCGACCTGGCAGCACCTCCTGGGAAGAACATAGATCTAATGTTTCTTCAAGAATAAGATGTGAAGGGTAAGGGAGTGGGAGAGGCCTATGGAAAGGAAAGGTTTAACTCTGAGGTGCATTTGGAGACCATCCCCTTTTAAATGCCTGGAAATTAAGTCGTGAATGGTGAGGAGCTCACTAGAGGTGAGGTAGCTCTAGAAGGAAGCTAGATCTGGAAGTCACATGCAGGAATTCATGTTTCAATCTCAAGATGCTTGCCAGTTAATGGAGGATTTTAAGCAAAGAATAATCTAATCAGATGTATGTTTAAAAGAGCACTTTGACAGCACTGCTGAGGTTAACAGTGGAATGGGGCATAAGGAGATCCATGAGCAATATTCCCTTTAATTCAGGAGAGAAAAGGTGAGGTCCTGATCCCATACAGCAGGGGTGGGGAAAGTCTTGCCCTACCAAGGGATTAGGAGTGAGTTAATTAAATGTTTGACCAAATAGAGCAGGCTAATTTTTAAGTTGATAATTTTGTATGACTTGAGAATGATATTATAAATATCCAAATGGCCCTGGGCAGAAAAAAGGTTCCCACCCCTGCCCTATAGTGTCAATAGTGGAAGATACAAAAATATAGTATGGGCAATATTAATGATAGAGCATTAACAAGGATGGTGAACAATTAGGTAAAGAGAGAATCGAATAATAATGAAAGGTGGTTGTAGTCACCAAGAAGGGGAATGCAGGAAAATTGGTAGATATTTAAGAGGAAAAAAAGTGGATTCTGGTTTTGACATGTGGAGCTTGAGGAGCCTTAAAATGACTCTAGAGTAGGGCTATGTGGTAGCCATCTAGTCTGGAATGGGATAGAAGTTTAAAGAGGAAATGATTCAACACCCATTTTTGATAAAAACTCTCAGTAAGGCGGGAGTAGAAGGATCATACCTCAACATAATAAAAGCCATGTATGACAGGCCCACAGCCAATGGACAAAAACTAACACCATTTCCCCTAAGAACAGGAACAAGACAGGGATGCCCCCTCTCATTACTCCTGTTCAACATAGTACTGGAAGTGTTAGCCATTGCAATTAGGCAAGAAGAAGAAATAAAAGGCATCCAAATTGGAAAAGAGGAAGTAAAACTGTCCTTATTTGCAGAAGACATGATATTATACATACAAAACCCTAGAGACTCCATCAAAAAGCTACTAGACTTAATACATGAATTTGGCAATGTAGCAGGATACAAAATTAACCCCAAGAAATCTGAGGCATTTCTATACACCAATAGTGAACTTTTAGAAAGAGAGATTATAAAAACAACCCCGTTTACCATCACACCAAAAAAATTAAGCTACCTAGGAATAAACTTAACTAAAGAGGTAAAAGACCTCTACTCAGAAAACTACAGGACGTTGAAAAAAGATATAGAGGAAGACATAAACAGATGGAAGAACATACCGTGTTCATGGATTGGTAGAATCAACATCATTAAAATGTCCATACTACCCAAAGCAATCTATAAATTCAATGCACTTCCCATTAAAATATCAACGGCATACTTCATAGATCTAGAACGAACTCTCCAAAAATTCATCTGGAATAAAAAAAAGACCCCGAATAGCTGCAGCAATCCTGAAAAAGAACAAAGTAGGTGGGATCTCAATACCAGATATCAAGATGTATTACAAAGCCACTGTTCTCAAAACTGCCTGGTACTGGCACAAGAATAGGCATATAGATCAATGGAATAGAATAGAGAGCCCAGAAATCGGCCCGAACCAATATGCTCAATTAATATTTGACAAAGGAGGCAAGAACATACAATGGAGCCAAGATAGTCTCTTCAATAAATGGTGCTGGGAAAATTGGACAGATATATGCAAGAAAATGAAACTAGACCACCAACTTACACCATACACAAAAATAAACTCAAAATGGATAAAGGACTTAAATGTATGACAGGAAACCATAAAAATTCTAGAAGAATCCAAAGGCAACAAAATCTCAGACATATGCCGAAGCAATTTCTTCACTGATACAGCTCCTAGGGCACTTGAAACTAAAGAGAAAATGAACAAATGGGACTACATCAAAATAAAAAGCTTCTGCACAGCAAAAGAAACCATCAACAAAACAATGAGAAAACCCACTGTGTGGGAAAATATATTTGCCAATGTCATATCTGATAAGGGCCTAATCTCCAAAATTTATAGGGAACTCATACAACTTAACAAAAGGAAGATAAACAATCCAATCAAAAATGGGCAAAGGACCTAAATAGACACCTTTCAAAAGAGGACATTCAGAAAACCAAAAGACATATGAAAACATGCTCAAAGTCACTAATTATCCGAGAGATGCAAATCAAAACAACAATGAGGTACCATCTCACACCTGTCAGACTGGCTATCATCAACAAATCAACAAAGGACAAGTGCTGGAGAGGATGTGGAGAAAAAGGAACACTTGTGCACCGCTGGTGGGAATGCAGACTGGTGCAGCCACTATGGAAGACAGTATGGAGTTTCCTCAAAAAACTGAAAATGGAACTCCCATTTGACCCTATGATCCCACTTCTAGGAATATATCCCAGGAAACCAGAAACACCAATCAGAAAGGATATATGCACCTCTATGTTCATAGCAGCACAATTCACCATAGCTAAGATCTGGAAACAGCCTAAGTGCCCATCAGTAGATGAATGGATTAGAAAACTGTGGTACATCTACATGATGGAATACTATGCTGCTCTAAAAAGGAAGGAACTCTTACCATTTGCAACAGCATGGATGGAACTGGAGAGCATTATGCTAAGTGAAATAAGCCAGTCAATGAAGGAAAAATACCACATGATCTCACTCATTCATGGATAATAGAGACCATTATAAACTTTTGAACAATAATAGATACAGAGGCAGAGCTGCCTCAAACAGATTGTCAAACTGCAGCGGGAAGGCCGGGGAGGGTTGGGGGGCAGGAGTTAGGGGCGAAAGAGATCAACCAAAGGACTTGTATGCATTCATATAAGCATAACCAATGGACATAAGACACTGGGGGATAGGGGAGGCTAGGGGACTGTCTAGGGCAGGGGGGAAAAATGGACACATATGTAATACCCTTTGTAGTACTTTAAGCAATAAAATAAATAAATAAATAAATAAACAAACAAATAAATAAATAAAGAGGAAATGAAAATACAGCAGTCACCATAGCATGGGTGGCCATTGGAGCCATAATTGACTTTCAAGATTGTCTACAGGACTGTTTCTCCAAGACAATATGGGAAAACTGCAGTGGGGACGGTCAAAAGCCTAATATTTATATAGAGAGTTAAAAAATATTTTAAAATACGTTTTTTGGATGCCCATATCAGTATTTTGAGGAGGCATTATTATGCTCACCTTTCTCCTTTTATGATGAGAACTGAAGCTCACATAAGTTAAGAGACTTATTGAATAGTAAGAAATAGTTCCTAGTCACAAACCCAGGTTGTTCTCCACTGCCTTTACATTTTAACGTTAATTTATTATATCAGAA